AAACTAGAGCACTGCAAAACATTGCCCCGAACCAGGATCGAACTGGTGACCTTTAGATCTTCAGTCTAACGCTCTCCCAACTGAGCTATCGAGGCACATGGTCATCGACTGCCCACTCTTTGTAGAATTGTGGCAGAAATGTGCAGCTTTTTGTAAGCTGTTTTCTTTCAGATAAGAGCACAATCACTGATTTGTATCCAATTGTGCAAAACTTGTGGAGGTATGGGGAATCGAACCCCAGACTTCTCGCATGCAAAGCGAGCGCTCTACCCCTGAGCTATACCCCCTGGGATGAATGAGACGTGTACTTTCTGAGCGATGAGTGAAGCACCTGTTGTCTGGGGAAACTAGAGCACTGCAAAACATTGCCCCGAACCAGGATCGAACTGGTGACCTTTAGATCTTCAGTCTAACGCTCTCCCAACTGAGCTATCGAGGCACATGGTCATCGACTGCCCACTCTTTGTAGAATTGTGGCAGAAATGTGCAGCTTTTTGTAAGCTGTTTTCTTTCAGATAAGAGCACAATCACTGATTTGTATCCAATTGTGCAAAACTTGTGGAGGTATGGGGAATCGAACCCCAGACTTCTCGCATGCAAAGCGAGCGCTCTACCCCTGAGCTATACCCCCTGGGATGATGAGACGTGTACTTTCTGACGATGAATGAAGCACCTGTTGTCTGAGGAAACTAGAGCACTGCAAAACATTGCCCCGAACCAGGATCGAACTGGTGACCTTTAGATCTTCAGTCTAACGCTCTCCCAACTGAGCTATCGAGGCACATGGTCATCGACTGCCCACTCTTTGTAGAATTGTGGCAGAAATGTGCAGCTTTTTGTAAGCTGTTTTCTTTCAGATAAGAGCACAATCACTGATTTGTATCCAATTGTGCAAAACTTGTGGAGGTATGGGGAATCGAACCCCAGACTTCTCGCATGCAAAGCGAGCGCTCTACCCCTGAGCTATACCCCCTGGGATGATGAGACGTGTACTTTCTGACGATGAATGAAGCACCTGTTGTCTGAGGAAACTAGAGCACTGCAAAACATTGCCCCGAACCAGGATCGAACTGGTGACCTTTAGATCTTCAGTCTAACGCTCTCCCAATCTGAGCTATCGAGGCACAGGTTATCGACTGCCCCTCCTCGTCGAGTGAATGTCTTTGTTGTTATTAGTACTTCTTTCATTTTATTGAACATCCTCTCTTAACAAATTCCTTGTTCTATATAATGCTTCTCACAGATAAATGAATGCACCCCGAACTATCTTGCGCTGGTGATGATTGTGCCCCTTGGCTTCATAAAGTTTCTTCAAGGATTATTCAAACGCCGTCTTTGAATGATAGCTTCGTGTTCTCGTCTTTATTCATTTTTCGTCATTTTTAATGAGTAGAACGGGGAGGGGGCGGAGAGGTTCGGAGCGTCGAAGACTGTTGAGATGAACCTATTTTATGGACACCATGGACCGCTATAGGGGTCATGTCGATCATCTCTTCAGCGCATGCGGGGGGCAACGATTACGAAAATTGTTTCTACTTAAAGGCAAAAGTCGGGCTCAATAAGGGGGTATTATGGCGATTGAAACTGAGTATAGAGATGCGAAGTGGAACGACAGTGGAGAAAAAACTGAGAAAAACCGTCGACAAGGCCGTTAACAAAACCCTCTTTCCCACTAGCAGTGAAGGAGGCTGGCTTGGGGAAAGAGGCACGTACAAACAAGTTTTCTGGAGATGTCAGTCGTTCTATCGGTTGATACGGCAATCAACCTAGCTGATTTCACACGTTATGCCAGCCACGCACCACTCCCGAGGTGGGCGGTCGTAGCGGGGCCAGGCGGCGATAGCGCTTAGTACGTGCCCTGGAGCCTTATTACGGCGCCGTTTGGGATTCTGAGCATGGTAACGTCTCTGTGGGTGCGTAGCCATGCACAAAGACGACAAAAGGGATTGGTTTGGTCCACTAAGCCTGACTCGTGCCTTTAAAGGTATGCTCCAACTGTTGGGCTCAATACCATTGGCGGTTGAGGATCTCAGTGATTGAAGAGGTCTAGATGAAATTTCGATCTCTCCATGGAAAAATCTTGACTGCTTCAGAGTGAAGCAGGTACAGGAGGCCTCCTCGAGATCGGATTGTGGATCGTTCAATATGATGACTTTTGAAAACGAAAAGGGTGAAAAAGCAAAGCTTGCATTGATCACATGGTGAGGCGTATGCTCTTCTGGTTTATTTTCAGAACACATAAAGTTGCACATGTAAATGTTCATTATTACGAGAAAATTAAACTCCTTGAACGCTCAAGAAACATCAACACAAATAATTCCCGCTCTCTCTTAAGGTTTCTCAGAATTGCTCCGGGAAATTGAACCGTTTCTCCCCTTTCTGTGAACCTGCCTCTATTACGTATCAGTGACCTTCTTGAGAAAGTTTCCCACGTTCTGGAACAGTCTCCTTGGTGAGCACCATGGAAACACATGGTTATGGCTGAATAAATAGAGAACTTTCCCTTTTTTGGCACACTCGAGAACCACTTCATTGCTTCGACTTTGATTCAACAACCTGAATGATTCAGTGAGTTTACTTAGCTTAAGCTCCCATTCAATTGTGCGTGATACATATTTGCTCTCCGTTGTGAACTAAAATCAATCAGTGCCACAGAAAGATCTAAGCACTATCTGGGCATACACTTGTACTCCCTTTCAAAAATCAACCTATTTCTCGTGTTTTGCACCATAAATTTTTCTCTAGCCATTTAACCGTCGCTGACCATGAGCACAGTACATTGCTAGACTGGTCCCGCGTAGGTGAGGTGCACCTTGAAATTCTAGAAACTCATATATCTGGATGCTAAAACCGTCTAGTAATGGAGTCCAATGCAAATTTTTTCTGTATTTCCTTTTTCAGTGCATATTTTTGGAATCTAGACATAACCGAGGACTACGTGGGTTTCCTAAGCCCAAACTCTGGGGGAACGATGGTCAAAAACACTTACAACCCAGCAATGACCCACAAGAGCTTGCTGCTGACTTATGAAACGTTATGAACTGTGCGCACATACTAACAAACTCATACTACACCACTACTCTTTTGGGTCTATGTGAAGCGACTGAAAGAATCAAAGGGCAGTACTTAATGATACTACTCCACAACACAACAACACAGTAAAACTAACGGGTCCCATTCCAGTAAGGGGGTAGCATGTTGTGTGAAAGTTCTTACCGACTACAGAAATTACAATTCTTGCAAGGGGAGGGAAGCTCCAGCATGTGTGAACCTTGCTTAACCCTTTGACGACCGTGTGGCCCGCCGGTGGGCCACACTTCCACTCGGAGGCGACTCGTTTTTCGTTGTTTATTTGCCATTTTTTCATGCCTCAAAACTAATACACTAATGGATCCGCGAAATAATGTGCTCATTACTAATAATTTTTGGAGATTTTATGACTACTGAAGAAAAAATTTAAAAAGAAATGAAGTGAAGCAGGCACAACGGCGGTCGTCAAAGGGTTAAACTTTTCAAACACCCCGCAGCTTCCCTCTACTGAAGAAAGGTGGATTACTTCATAAATATGAACTGTATCACCACATGCCCCACTTACTGGGTGAGACCCAAACCAACTGTTTATGTACTACTAGCTAGACCTACATTACGTTACAAATCAATAGGATGATAGTAAGTAAAATAAGGAGGAACTCACGTCGGGTGTCTGCCAGAGACCGGTCAGCGACCAACATGCGATAAAGTCTAGATTCCATATATACAGTAGCGGCCAAAAGTGTTCGCCGGAACGGTTATTAGTGCTTGCTGCTCTTTCCTTTTGCCAGAGAAAAAGTCAAATGTGATCTCTAAACTTTCCTTTTCAGTATCTTGAATCTTCAAGACACAAGGTCATAAAAACATAGCATATCAATCTTTGGAGTGCATTGCTCATGTGAGAAAAAAATAATGCACGGAAAATGATTTCGGCGAACACTTCACTAGATATATATATCAATAGCAACGAATTCCATGCTTAGTTCTAAGTGCTCGAAGCCTTGCGGGATCGCTATACGTAAGTAACGACGCAGAGAGGCCCGTGGCGTGAACGGTATCCGGGTTCGTTCGTAATGTTACTGTCATTAACAGCGCCATGCGTTGCAGCACGACCGCAAAGTAAATACGGGGGGGGGGCAAAAAAAAGTCACTCTCACTCACATTCAAAACAGAATTAATTACACTTTGCCAAAACCAAACCGAATGAGCTCAATTGCATATTGAAGAGCACATTCTATTCTATCAAAAAAATTACATAGGGGCTTCTACACCGACGACATCAGAAGATTTTCCCACGGAAACATGGTTCACGGTACGAGCTCAACGAGGTCGTCGAGGTACCATAGACGATTACGACGTCTCTGAAACGCTGGTCAAAAGCCATTTTGCATAGTCAGAGCTAGTGTCCCTAAGAAGCCATTCACCAGTTATCCGATTGAAGAAATTATGTAGCAGCTTCAGAATGGAGCGATTATGGTAGGCCTCCTTGAGCTCGACGGTGATGACAGATGACGTCATATTCTGGAGACGGTGAAGGCAGCGAAGGTGGGCCTGATTCTGCTTATGGGGGACATCTAAGGAATATTTCGCCGTATAACTCCCAATAACAGCGGCATCCTTTGCGACGAAAAATGATATGCGCCATGGGCAAAGTGACTCTTTTTTTGCCCCCCCCCCCCCTATTGGACAACACTGAC